CCTGTGCGGTCCCGACGACGTAATCTTTCTAGTCGTCGACCGCGCCGTAGATGAGATGCACGTGCACGGTCTCGCAGAGGTGTGGCAGGATGTTGAACGCCCGCGCACGACCCATGATCTCGGCATAACACGCCTGTCGCGAGCCAATCAGCTAATATACAGGCAGATGTGGGATCGGCACTACGCACATACTCCTGGGCCTTGGTGCACTTCAGTGTCACGCCCTCCGTCTTGTCAGGGTACTCCGCCGACGGCAGTTCGCGCAGTCCTTGCTCCTGAATACCCATTGCACGTCAGCTGAGGCGAGGTGCACGTCGCGCGCGAGTAGCCGCACCACATATATTTTGAGCACACGTGGGTCCCATGCCTTGAATGCGGGGCGCGATTGAAACATCGCAAGCGCATCGGCTCGGGACGGCCAGATGTCTCGCCGTTTCTGTGCGCCCTCAAGGGGAAAATTGCCGAGGTGCCCTGACTCGTAACGTGGTGGAGGGGGTATGAGCATTAGGTCCACGAGGAGGATGGACCTGAATTCCAGGGTGGGGGCGTACGTGCCTGCGAGCATCCTGGTCCATTGAAGTCGAGTCAGATATGTCATATGTTGACCTCCACAGAAACGCAGCATTGTCATGTGCTTCGAGAGATGGGATACCTACGTGCTGGCCAGAGCACAATCAACGCCAAGCCAGCGCATGGGTATTCCGCAATCGGAGACAGGACTCTGCAGCCAGATGGAATGGATGCGTACATTGCAATGGCACCCATTGAATGGCCGACGGCGACCAGCTTCCGTCCGCTGAAGTCGACGCCAACTCCAGTCCCGAGGCCGGATAGGAATATATGTACGCTACGCGCATACTCCTGCCAACTGACTTGAGAGCACAATCAGCGCATGAATAGTGCTTCAGACTGACGGCACTCACAGATGGGATATCCCCACCGCAGCGTGTGCTCGTTGAGCACAGCCGCGTCTCCGTGGTTGGGCGCGTCGATCGCCCACACGTCGCGTATTTTCACGCCGCCCTGTGCATGTGCGTGGTCATACAGATGCTGGATAGTGGGCTCCCAGTGCTCCTTGTGATATCCCGTCCCATGCTCAAACACGAGCGTCACCGCGTCCGGATCATCAGACGGCTCCTGAGGCAGCCAGTAGCGCTTCGCCGTTATGAGAAGCGGGTAATTTGGGCGGGGGTTGCAGACATAGGCCTCGCAGTTCAGAGATGGCATCGCTGTGCTGGAGGTGTCGGTGGACGCATGATTCTTCAAGGGAGTTGCGGTCGCACGTCTGGTTGTGTTGATGACCAGTCCCCGGGCATGCGCCTCGGCGATGTGACTCTGAGTTATCAGATTAGATGTTCGGACACGAGACTTTTCCAGCGGATTGCATTTCATTCTTACGAACTCACTGAGTCTCACTCTGATACATCTCGACGGGCACGGGTCGACAACAGTGCAGATGAGCTATATGCCGTGGACGACGTGGGTGAGGATACACCCATTGCGATCTCGTGGGTGATGCTACCAGTGCACTCGAAATCCTGGTGGTACCATGGTGTTCCATTCGCAGAAGTCATCGAGCAGTTCCTACAGCGTCATATTAATATTCTCTCACAAGGGTGTTTTAGTATTAGGACCCGTCTTACTATTTAGCGCAGTCTTCGAAAACATCCCACCCCGGACCTGGTGAGTCTGCCGACCCTCCACGATCATGGACACAACTCACAGTGCGCCCACACGACGTAGTCAGATACGTGTCCAGTACTTAGTACTTAACGAACTACGCGGAGACACCGTGCTACGACGAAGAAACCTTGGCATGTCAATGTTCACCACATATATACAGCACCCTGCCCTGGGCTGTTTCTGCTTTCAGTTCTCATCCGTCCGATATTCGTGAACGGCGTCTCTCCCGACATCGAGTCGGCATTGATGATGGTCCTGGTCGAGATCAAGCAGCTGAAGCTAGGGCTGCCGACTTGTATCGATCCAACGTAGGCTACTAGTGTTTGAAAGCAGAATCAACTCCGGTGTTCGGAAGGCAATAACTTCTCATGGACCTTGATTCGGACATTGCATTCAGTCGGTTTGCGCAAGGAACCAAGACTCCAGCTTCTGATGTGGTGATCAGTCTTTCGACTTTACTCTAAATAGGGTCTCCTGACTCAGCGTACGGTTTCCCGAGTGTTCTCGGAGTTGAGAACGAGGGTGATAGTCATGTTTTCTGCGAGCTGTAACGCGAATGCCGCCCGAGCTCGCACGGTCAGCGCTTAATCTGCAAAGGTACGTTTTCTAGCGAGCTTGTATCCTCGGAAAGCTTCTATACGTTAACACCGATGTTTGTAGATCTGCTATAATACAGTTTGATACTGTGGATGTGATTGTGTCTGTGTCGATGCCGCCCGAACCTGCTCTCTCGGGCCGCGAGATACTTATCCACATATCCTCATCCGAAGGATGTGCGAGTTGGGGATGTATGCATAGAGCTCATAGTAAGCGAAGGCTGTTGTTATCACTATGAAGTGAACTGAATTACAAAGCCTTTTCTCCTTCCTCTTAAATTCACCAGCTTGAATCGCTTCTCTCTCGCCCAATATCTCACTATGGCGATCCCAACAACTACCCGCGAGTACCACCTTCCTAATGTAAAGTCTCCTCATGTTCCTACTAGTGCTGTCCCAATGCTGACCGTTATCAGCCTGGTGGACTCAAAAGTCTCGTCCTTGAAGAGAACCCCGTGCGCATGCGCAAGTCCTCCGAGGTCCTCGTCAAAGTGCATGCCGTCTCCCTGCAGGTATGTCTCCGCATCCAGAGTTGCTTGCTGTGCACTCATCTACGATGTTGGTGTCCATGCAGTTTCGCGACCTCCTGATAAACAGAGGCCTCTACCCCATGGCACTCAAAGAGAATGTCGTCGTGTGCTCCGACATGGCGGGTGAGATCCTTGGTATCGGTGATGATGTCAAGGGGTGGAACATCGGGGACCGCATCTGTTCCAACTTCGCAATTGAACATCTATCTGGTAATATCTCCACAAAGACTTTTCATTCCGCTCTCGGTGGACCAATCGATGGCGTCCTGACTGAATACAAGCTCGTTCCTGCACATGTATGTATGTCACTTATGTTGTGTTCCGCTTCTGTTGATTCTGCTCAGAGCCTGGTTCGCATTCCGGCGCATCTCTCGTATGAAGAGGCGTCGACTCTGCCGTATGTGCCCCTGTCAGCATTGTGTCATACCGTTGTGACATTTCCCCAGGTGCGCGGCATTGACGGCGTACAGCGCGCTATTCGGGCCTGTGCCTGTCAAGGGCGGCGACACCGTGCTTATCCAGGGCACGGGCGGCGTATCTATCTTCGCGCTCCAGTTCGCCGTTGCCTGCGGCGCGACGGTCATCGTGACGTCGTCCTCGGACGTGAAGCTGCAGGTCGCGTCTCAACTCGGGGCGAAGCACCTGATTAACTACATGACGACCCCGGACTGGGAGCAGGAGGTCCTCCGGCTGGTGCGTCATCCGGCATCGCATATTCGAGCGTGTTTGACTCGCGGGTGCTAGACGGACGGCCGGGGTGTGGACCACATTATCGAGGTGGGTGGTGCGGGCACGCTTGCCAAGTCTGTCACGGCTGTCGCCTACGGCGGGTGGATCAGTGTGATCGGGGTCGTTGCAGGGGTGCGCCTCGCCCTCTGGGAGCTCCCGCACAATGTCCCGTACGAAGCAAAGACACGTTTATACGAGGAATTCCTTGCCAGTTGGGTCAGTCCTGCACGGGTTTGTTTCGAAAGGATCGCCGAAGTCCTGCTGGAATTTGTGAACTTGAAGATCACCGCTCACTTCGGACGTTTTCAAGCACTTGAGCAGCATTTTGGGTACGTCTTCAGTCACCCGCGTTAGAATTTACACTAAGCCACTAGTATCGTAGTGCCATCATTCGAACTGAGGTTAAGAACATCAAGACGCGCAGCCTATGTTCGCTTCACGAGGTCCTAACTCGCGAGAGCTCTCCACATTTTACCCAGAACGATCATCATCTAGAGTCCTCAAGAGGGAAGTGGCTTGCGCATTACAAGCTGATACGCTGTAACGCTGGACGATATAGGCTAAGTGATTCGAAACATCACGAAGAGCTACCACGCGATTCAAGTCCTGGAATGCCAGAGACGGAATTTTCTATCGGCCTGAGTGTATACGATGGATTACAGGCGGTTCAAAAGGCGCCAATAGACGTAGCGTTGGAAGCGCTGTCTGAGCTGGGATACAAAAACCTCACAAAAGCAGATTTAGAACGGCTTCACCCACCTGATGACTTCGAGGAAGAGCTGGAGGTAATGGCAGATGTACGTGCCTACTTTCAGGTATCTTACAAGGTACGTTGCACATGCTTGTGGGTTGCATCTGGACGTTGGGGCTCAGTCGTTTCCAGCGAATCATTGACAACGTTCCGATGACGATTCAGCACACGCTTAATCGTGCCCTCGCCCAAGCTATGCAGAACTGTCTTGTTGCAGAATTACATCTAGGCACGTCAGACGCCTCGGAACGTCTTGAGAAACTCCTTGTTGAGGATCCAGGCATCGAGGCCAAGAGGATGGAGCTCGAAAAGAAGAGAGCGCGACTACTGGAGATTCAGGTCAAATTGATCAACTTTCACTTGCCAGTGTGAAGATAGTTTACCTCGATGGTGTTCTGTGCACTTCATGTCATGGTGGGTAATTCAGTTATATCTTCTGGTATACATTATTCATTATCCCCAACATTGCTGCGATAGATGCAGGTGGCCCTTTATTTCTCAGAGACTCGGAGAGATTCGCTGTCGGAGGCCGTCGAGTACGCGAAATGTACATGTACACACAATTTTAGCTAGTTTGTACAACTGCCCAGTAGGAATGCTCACGTTATCCACAAGCATCAATGAAGTCTTGCGAGGGTGCCGACCTGCGCATGCACGGTAAACAGTAAAAATCATAAAATCTGAGGCAATCTTCTTGCCACGCAAAAATGATGCCACGTACCCGGTTTGAACGAGTGACCTTCCCATAACACCTGGTACAGTGTAGGTACAAGTGGGACGCGCTACCACTACGCCAACGCGGCTTGAATGAGATGTCTCTCAAAAGCAACAATATGAAAGCAGATCACGACCGGATAGACCCGACTCTCCTCAATCGAAGATTACTTTCTTCCGCAACCTCTTTACACCTGTTGTTGATGTTCTCGGATATGTTTCGTGTTGTATATACTGATTTGACCACAGCTGAAGCGGTATATGTGAGTGCGAGCGCTTAGTGTATATCGACCCGTGTACTGTGCTCCACTGGCAGCTAATCCCTATATCAGATACATGGCAAGGTATTGCGACGCTACTGACTTTTCTCAGCGAACTGAGTGTGCTGTCGAAACAAGAGAAGTAACGGTTGCATCGGCATGTATGGGCGGCCGGCCTGAATAATCGCGAGAGTGATGATGATCTAGGCCCAACTGGAATGGCCGTCAGTCTCCACTATTCATTCACAGGCTCGCATCATCGCTATGCGCTTCGCGAACCACGTCCAGTCTATTCTCGCTTGGATCTGGACGCCCTATGTCAGCTGTTTGCGCATGCCGCAGGCCCCGCCCCGGCTGGGTCTCCTGTTCATGGCTCTGGCTGAAGTCTAGATGATATATCGCTCGCATTGGGCGGCCACCTGCTCTGCATGTGGGCCCATCCTGGGAATGTACTTATTCATGCATGTTTTTTCGTTATTCTCACCGCACAGCCCTCCATAACTCTACAGCCGCTCAAAGGGACTGTTTCCTTCACTAGCTACCATGGCATCCCTGCGTATGACATCGCTGTCTCGTGCATCCCTCCCGACTCACAAGGGTGTGCGGTGGGCGCATGTTCACTACGATGTGAGATACCTTTCGCCGCTCTGATACCGCCTCTGACGCGCCGCCAGAACATGCCCTTCACCTACAAGAACCGAGCGGCCTTTCGTGCCAAATATCTCGCATTCGTCGGTACGGGCTTCGTCATTCCGTTCGTCGCTGTCTACTATCAACTGTGAGTGCTCGACTTCTCACCCGCGTCAGGAGACAACCGACTGATCCGTAGGTTCTCACTGACAGATGGAAGTCGGGCGGCGCAGCGTAACATGATTGTATCATATTGCGAGTATACACTACGGCAGCGCCCACGATTATGACGGGTTTCGAGCTACCAAGAACTTTTTATTTGCATTCCTAATGTCAGCGCCGCACAAATCTCTCCCGTCCTGATCTACACCCAGAGTACAACATCCCAAATGACGAAATCTCCATGGAATGAGTGTCCGCCAAAACTTGTGCCTGCTAGCGTTAGAATCGGTGGTATGATCGGTGGTGTGAATGCAGTCGTTGATGGATCGTGAACTGGCGGCGAGTCTGTCTCATCTTAATTGTCTTGCTTGCTGAGGTCAGAGGCATGACTCTCAGGCTAATCTGTATCGCTGTTTATTCTATGTTTCACTTCGTCCATCCTCGCCAGATGAACACAAAAATCCATGACGAGATCCGAGCTGTCTGCTCATGCCTGGATCAGGGCTGAGTGCAGTATAATTAAAAACCAAGTCAAGCACGGTATTAGACGGGGTTCAAGCTGTTGTATCTCGTGATACGAGGTTTGATCGTACGCCAGGCTTGGAGTCATGGCCATAATTGTTTCCGAAGAATTTCATGCTCATATCCCAGCAGAGCACACGGTGGATGTGCGGCCCATGGTAGATGTTTATATTTCACTCCGGAAGCTAGGTATATCTGAATGTGGTACGTATCTGCACATTTATTGACGCCAAGGCATTGACCAAATCTGAACCCAGTGGCATGAGTCAAAGACCTACAATGCCTTGTCATCTTATTGTGGTCCTGCAAGTGTCACGACGGGACAAGACCATGTAGCTTGTACCAGTATTGACAACCGACCAAGCGTCTACAAAAGCCCGTCCTATGTCATCCGGTCTCCCACCACCCAGTCTTCTCGGCGGTCCAACTTGCCCACAGTGCTTCCGGTCCTTGGTTCAGCGCCGCGATTTCAAATGTATGGCCTCTCCATCACTTGTGTCTACATACTCACCACTCTACACTACCGGTTGATAGACGGAGCACGCGTTCCTCAATTTTCCCATTCCCTTCAAGGCTTCAACCCAGACCGTGGCTGTTGGTCGTGGAAGATCCTGTCCGGAACAGAACCTCGACTGTACCATCATACCGTATACGCGCTCATATCGTGTGGCACTTGTTCTTCAACAGATGCACCTCATGAAGCTGTTCAAGGTCCGGTCGACATTAGTTTGCACCGCGGATCGAGACGAGGTCTCCCCATTGATCGACCGGCGGGGAGTTGCTAGAAGATCCAGCACTAGGAGGGAGTTCCTTACATCAGCGAGCGTGCTGTTTCGTGCTGTTCGCATAAGGACATCGACGTTCGTGCGTGGTGCTAGGAACGTGCCTTCGGCCGAGCTCGCTACAGCTACTCAGCGCGATCTGTTCGCCGCCGCCGACATCGTAGGCGAGATTTCCATACCCGCACCTCCACTTGCAACATCGACAGTCGCCGACACGGTATGGACAGGACGCGTTGTGGATCTCTTGATTACTCACGATGAGCAACAGAACACCCGAGCCGCCGGCAACACTACGCCCAGCACATTGCCACTCCCACGTATGCCTCCACAGGTGTCATCCATACAACCCGCAGGCTCCAGCGTACAGCGCACAAGCAATAGCCAGAGTAGCTGCATCGGCTGCAGCAGATGTTCTCTCAACACGGCAGGGGCAGCGTGGTCTGTCGAATATGTCGAACCTCGGCAAAGACAGCACTTCGTCGGACCGCTTGAGACGGGGAGCGCACACCATAGTCGTTCGGGCCGCAGTGTGGACAGTGCAAAGAGGCGTGCATTGATGTCGTCGCAAAGGAAGAGTATCCAACTCCTTGGCCCAGAGGCGGCGGCGGCTGTCTCCCGTGCGATCATGATCGAGGAAGGTTGACTGTATCAGGGTCTGACACTGAAATTGTAAGACGTATAGGAAATATAATATAACGGCAGACATATCAGAGATGACTTTGCTAGCCTTGCCAATGTTTGTCGGGAGGCTCCGTGACTTGGTATGTCTTTGGGCACCGCATTCTCAGGTATGAGCACCACGCAAACACGACCGTCAGGGAATATCACATACCATATCGTTCAGCAGAACTGACACGGTGCGGCTGGCAGCTCCCCGCTAGAAGCGGTGTAAGAGCGATGATGATTTTGAATGCTCAGCATGCACATTGATTCGCATTGGCACACGTCCAGACAACCCGGAAGACGACTCGTGAATCATGAATTTCAATGATGAATTCGCTAGATTCCAGGTTAATGATATACCACATGACAACAAAATCGCAACTTAAACCGACGCTGCTCGTTCTCTACACCCTTGACACGATGTACCGAGCTGAAAAAGCAGAATGGCGGGCTACCGCGATTGCGAACAACGATCCAGGCGCTGCTCGCGGAGGGTAGACTGAGGGACGAGACGAAGCTGACTACGGAGCTGCTCACGTTCGCAGACAAGATGGAGAAGAAGCTCGTGGCAAAAGAGGCTAAGGCTGCTGAAGAGAGCGAAGGTGAGTTCGACGGCGGGGCATGCGACTGTGGGGACGGTAACTCGTCCGGACAGAAACCGGCGGCGCGTCCGCGTCTGCTACAATCATCATCCAGGATGGCAGGACAAGCCCCGCCCTCAAGGCCTCAGGCCTCACCTCTCTAGCCTGTTTCTGGCGGCAAGATAACCTTCGTCTCGACATGTAAAGTGCTCACAAAGGTACGTACGTATACGCGACAGCTAAGCCTTGTTGACATCTAAGCCACCGTATCGTCCGGCCACATGTACGACGTTCGTAACCAACCCGGTGGACACGTACGTTCCGCTCCAATCATTCTACCCCGCAGACATGGACGACAGATTGCTCCGGACGCTGAGACTAACTGGCAGACCGACACGCTTGCTCCCCATGTTCATCTGCGCTGGAACGTTCCATTTGGACTTGCTGCCGAACCTGGCCGAGTCCATCTCTGGAATAATTGCACTATCTCTGCCTCGTTCCACCCCAACCTCCATTTTGGCTTTTACCTGCGCGGCGGCCTTGAAGGGCTCATGACAGCACTAAGTAGTGCACGTATCAGGAACGAGGGCCCAGAACCCGCCTCTCTCGTGATCGGTCGTCGCTTTCTATGATACCTATTCAAGGACCAGGCGACCAGCTCCTCCAGGCTGCCAATATCGTTTTGACGACGGTTTGCGATCCATCGCTGGCTCAGCGCTGCCAGGTACTAGTACTTGGCCCGAGAGGCTGTCGTTGCGGCATGGACCCTGTCGGCCACCCTTCGTGCAGTGATATGGTTCCTCTATCATATACGCATCGCATCGCATCCCTGCGACTTGTGACCGGATCAGATAGGCGTGCAAGGCAAGGCATGCTATCTCTGGTGATCGCGAGGCTGCTGTCGCCTGGTCGCCCGTCAGTCCGGGATAGTGGCTGCGAGCTACGTTCTTGTCCGCTCTTGGACGTCCTCGCTTGCGCGCAGTGCCCAGGGTGGGTGAACAGGTCCCCGGCCTAGACCGCGACCCTAACTCGCTCCCTGCTCCATTCCGCTGCATCTGCCGAGGACTGGAGTCTAGGTGTCGCACTGCCGTATGCTCGCCGAGCGCGGGGGGTCCCCTCCGGCTTTCTGAAAGCATCAGCCCCGACCACGTTTACCCCTTGGATCTGGATTGCTAGCGTCGCGGATGACTTCTGCCGTCGCCCTTGGCACCTCCCCGCCTTCAACTACTAGCTGCAGCGGAGGCCGTCTCCGTACCCCCTTGCGATCTATGCATCACCTCGTGAAAGGAGGCGTCCGGCAAGGGATTCCCATCGTCCTCGATCTCAGAGGGGCCGAGGGTCTAGAGCGCTCTTTGGCTGCGAAGAAGCTACCCCGTTCCGTTGGCGGGTTCACGATAGCGCTGCACAGGGAAAGTGACATGTAATCTGCCCATTCGCGTCCTGCACGATCACCAGCCTGCTTCGAGTAGATTCTGGTAATTAAAACGTA